GTGGAGTTAAGTCGGGCCTGTCCCTCTACAGGGGGAATTTCGGAAAAAAGTCTGGGGACGTTTTTTTAGTTTTGTTTTTGTCCAAAAAAAGTTTCGTCCAACATCCCCCTGTATGAGGACATGCCCGACCTGATGGTAGAGCCTCGGGGCCACTCAGTAGGGCAGGTGTACAGGTCACAAAACCAAAAACCATATCATCTTGCCAGTGACGTTGCATATGGAGTACCTTGTCCGAAACGCTGTAGACGCAGTAGTGACGTCTGTACATGCGACGTTGCAGACAGCGGCATTGATGCTGCCTACAACGCTAGTGAAATCGGAGGTTGGGGGGGTGAGATCGCATTGGAATGGAGAGCCCCCTGCCAGGAAATCGGTTTCCGTTTCCTGTTCGTGTCGTGCGTGCGGGCGAGGCGAAGTTGCGTGAGCGCGCGAGAGGAGTGATCCCGCCGCTGCTTAGGGCGATTCGATGCAAAAGTCCAGCCCTTCGGTGGGCGCGCGGTGGCCGAGGGTGTCCCGCCGTGGTGTCCCGCAGTGTCCCACTGGTGTCCCGCAGTGTCCCGCCGTGTTGTTTGGTGGTTTCCCGTGGTGTGCCAGTGGTGTCCCGCGGTGTCTCAGTGGTGTCCCAGTGGTGTCCCGCGGTGTCCCAGTGGTGTCCCAGTGGTGTCCCGCGGTGTCCCGCCGTGGTGCCTCGATGGTGTCCCGATCGGTAGTGATATCGGTCGTGAGATCGACAATGACCGAAATATGATGAGATCAGTCATCAGATCAATAGTTGGATCGATCGTGAGGTCGATCGTGAGATCAGTAGTTGCGTTGATCGTGCGAGCGGCAGTGATATCGATAGTGAGATCGGTAGTTGCATCGATACATCGGCGCTGCGAACGTTTTGACCCGTTTCGTGCTTCCACCAAGACAACGCAGTACGAAGTTTCCCATGATGGGTGTGGAAGGGGAGGGAGGACCAGAGGGCCGCTCCCACCCATGTAAGCGCTACGCTAGTAACGAAAAGTCAAGGCGACACAGTGGAGGTATAGTTTTGGCTGCCAACTTCTACTCCCGATGGAAGCGCGGGGCTGTCGGCCACCCAACCCGCGTTACGGCTCTTCGGCCGAATGAGAGTCAGAAGGGGCAGCAAGGTGCAGCTTGCGGCGTGGTGTCCCGAAAGCGAAAGCGACCCGTGCCTAAGACACGCGCCCGCGACCCGCACCAGCAACCCGCACTCGAGACCGGCATCCGCGACCAGAGCTCGCGACCAGAGTCTGCGACCCGCGCTGGACACCGCTCCCGCGACAGGCGACCTGCGCCCTCTTTGGTTGCCTCATTGAATGGCTTCCAGCTGAACGTGCCCGCTCTTGCGGCCCTTCTGGCTGTCTCACACATGCTCACAGCGCCTGTGGGACCACACTGAGAGTGACACCACTCCTGACAAGAAGCAGTACGCAGTCTGAAATGTTTTGAGCCAGTCAGCATCTGAGCACCACCGGGACTGCGAGCACCCAGCCGTCTGTGGGATTACATTGCCAGGGAGTGCCACTCCTGACAAGCAGCAGTACGCAATCAGGATTGTTTGAGCCAAGAAACGCGTGAGCACTAGCGTGACTATGAACACCCAGCCGCCTCCAACCATCCGTCGCCAGTCGATCCCACCACCCTTGCATTCCTCATCTGTCCACCCTCCCTCCTTCGTTTTTCTTTCTACAACTTGCCACCTCATCTCTCCATCCTTCCTCCCTCCATCCCCTTCCAGATCCCTCCACCCGTCAATTCATCTTCACTCCTTCCCTCCATCCTCCCTTTTTCCTTCCCGGAATCCACCCCTCCATGAATTCGTCCTTCTTACTTGTTTCCTCCATCCGTCCGTTATCCTTCATCGCTCATCCTATCTTCGGTCCTCTTATCCCCCGACCCATCCACCCACCTGGGTTTCCTGACTGCCTCCCTCCTTCCTCCCTCCATCACTTTTTTCATCATCCCTCCTGCATCGCCCCTGCTCCCTCATCTCGTCACGCCTTGTCACTCCTGCCTGCCTCCTTCGATCCCTCTTCGCACCCGCCTTTCCCCACTCCGCTCTCTGCCAGACCTCCCTCCCTCCCTCATCAATTCTTCCGCCCATCCTTCCCTCCTCGGTCATCCCTCACACCTCGTCTCTCCTTCCTCCATCCGTCCGTCTTCCTCCTTCTGTCTGCCTTCCCGCCCTAGTTTCCTCTTCTCCTCCTCCTCCTCCTCCTCCTCCTCCTCCTCCTCCTCCTCCTCCTCCCCTCCTCTTCCTCCTTCTCCTCCTCCCCGGCTTCATCATGATCTGCCTCTTCATCTTCCTCCTCCTCACAATTACCTCCTCCCCATTCGTCCTCCCCTTCCGCGGAAAGATCTGCGAACACATACATCGGTATGCGGTTCACTCCTGGACGGCAATCCGCTGCAATCCCTTTGTCAAGGCATCTCGCTTGGGGAACTCTCTGCATGGCCCCGGGGGACGCGAAGCATCAAGAGTTGTAGGCTGGGGAAACACTCAGGCGATCGCAAACATGGATTAAGGGGGCGTGGATTAGCGACGGGTCCCGTTTCCATGGGAGATCGCGGTTTTCCGCCGCCGAACGATGCGGCACCGGCCGCATTTTGGGGAGGGCACCTCCCCTGACCCATGGATTTGGCGACCGCGCGCCAAATCCATGGGATCGCTAATCCTTGTTTGCGCGCCCCCGAACACACACTTCGCCAAAGCCCCAACGGTCAGTTCATGAAGTGTTCACATGTCAAAGGGGCGGTAACCCAGAAGGAGCGCTCACTCCGGAGGAGAGGGAAACGGAGGAGGAGGAGGGGGAAAGGGAGGAGGAAAAGGGAGGGGTGGGAGGTGCGAGGGGGAAAGGTCGGAGGAGGAGGAGGAGAAGGAGGAGGAGGACGCGGAGGAGGAGGAGGAGGAGGAGGAGGAGGAGGAGGAGGAGGAGGAGGAGGAGGAGGAGGGGGGGGAGGAGGAGGAGGGGGATGGGGGCGGGGGGAGGGGACCGTAACCTGGAAGGAGCCTTTACTCCGCCCGCGGCACGGGGCCGCGACTTCCCCGAGAGAGGGGGGCTCTGCGCAGAGGGGCCGCACTCCCCCGGTCGTCCCCCCCCTGGCCTGCAGCTCAACGAACAGCATGGCGAACGCGAGGGAGACGAGCTGTTTGAGCAGGGGGGAGGACGCAAACATGGGCAGGGAATCGGACAGCGGTGTGGGCGCCAGGATGCCACAAGGGCGGTTAACGAGGGTGACGGCGGATGGGGAGGCAACCCTCGCGGGAGAAGCCGGGTCGGTGCAGGCAGCGAGACCTCGGCGTGCCCCGATGACGGTCGAGGGTCCTCAGGGCAGGACGGAATGATGAAGAGGGAGGAGGAGGAGGAGGAGGAGAAGGAGGAGGAGGAGGCGGAGGAGGAGGAGGAGGAGGAGGAGGAGGAGGACAAGGAGAGAAAGGTCCAGTGTAAACCCAAGACGCATCAACGATGTTGCAGCGCACCCTCCCTCCAAGTTCCCTCGTCAGAGGCCCCTACAAGAATGCATTGTCATTGCGGGGAGTGCCCAAATGAAAAGACAACCGTCTGAGAATCCTCACTCGCGCCAAAGCACAATTTCTGGGACTTCAACGCCGCGACTCGACGTGACTGCTGCGTCTTGACAACTCTAATTCGTGCCAGGATGCCGTTCCTGAGGCTTCAACCCTACGGGCTCTTGTAAGTGGTGCAAACTTTTAAGACGACTGTGCGTCGCGCTAAGGCGAGAGCCGTCTTTTGAAAACGACCCGCCGTTCATCCTTGAAGTTGCTGCACACTTTTAAGACGAATGTGCGCGGCGCCCTGGGTAAAACACATTTTGAGCACGACTCGCCCTCCATCCGTGAAGCTGTTGAAGACTTTCGAGAAGATTGTGCACGGCACGAAGGCGAGAGCCACATTTTGAAAACGACCCGCCCTCCATCCTTGACGCTGTTGCAGATTTGCGTCAGGATCATAGGTGGTGAGGAGGTCTCAGGCGATACGCCCAGCCTGACCTACGGTAGGTTTGTGTCGTGTCGACCAGTGGCGACCCCACCAGCGGCGTTCAACTTTGAGCGCCGCGAGCGAGTCAGAATCGCTCGGTGTGGAACGATTTGGACGTTTCGGAAGCGGCCGATCGTTCACGGTTGAACGAACCCCGCGGTGTCAGAAACCAACGCCGAAGCCGGCACGACACGAACCTGACGTGCCGACACGTGTGGAAGTGCGCTAGGAAGGAGGAGGATGAGTGTAGCCGAGACGCTGAAATACGTAGCTTTTGGTTTTTGGTTTTCGTTGGTTTTGGTTTTCGTTGTGGGTTCAGGAGGGGCTTTTGGTTTCCGTTGGTTTTGGTTTTTGTTGGTTTTGGTTTTCGTAGCTTTTGGTTTTTGGTTTCCATTATGGGTTCAGGAGGGGCTTTTGGTTTTCGGGCCGCTCCTGGGAGGCAGGTCGGGGAATCTGCTCGTGACCGAGGCTCGCCTTGGCCAGAGAAGCCCCTTTCACTCCTCGTGCTCGGCACGAGGGCTGTGACCTCGGGGACTGTGCGTCGAACGTGCGGCTGTGTCGCTGAAGGCTCTGGAGGGACGTCGGATGCTTCCGGTGATTGTGAGATCGGGGGATCGCGGGCTGCCCGGGCTCTTGAATGCGATATGCAGGCGATCCCGCCCGTGCTGCTTTTTGCTCGTCTGCGCATAAGAGTGACCCCTCGCCAGAGTGATCTTTGGTGCGGGCCCACTGGGGTCCACCGATCTTCGAGCGCGATGCGATGGCAGCGGCTTGCTCGCTTGGGTTTTGCCCCCCGCGTCGCTCCGAAATCCGCACACCAAAGTGCATTCTTGCCTCAAACCAATCTGGCGTGTAGCTGATAGGCGTACCATCATCTCTCTTGCCATTGAGCAGCTTGTGGTGAGCAGCAGCGGTGGGCATCGTCTTAGGAGAAGGGGCACTCGACTGCATCGTCAGTGGTGGGTCGCGGCGAGCGCCAGAGAAGACGAGGCACTCGAGGAGCAGTACCTCGAGAAGCTCCACTGTCCGGAGGACGAGCCCACTCGAGAGCCTCTCGACACTTCGGACCGGCTGCGCGGCATTTCCTCCTGCTGTTCTTTCTGCCCAGGGCGCGTTCTGGCTCCACCAGGCCGATACAAGATGGTCTTCGAGATTTCCGATTCGAGCGGGCCCGATGACGCATTCTGATGTCCACCGATCTGTTTCGATTTCGTGTCGATCTGGCTCCAGTCCGAGAGAGAACGACGACGAGAAACGGAGACGAGGGGCTCGGATGAGGGGCGAGTGGGAGGAGGGAGAGGAGAGCAGTGAGCGGGGACGAGGATGAGAGAGGAGGGAGTGCCACCCTCTTCGGCCCCCCCCTTGGGCTCCCCTGGGCCCCGATTGTCCTCCATGATCCCCCATGGGCCCCCCTTGGGCCCTCCTTGGGCGCCCATGGCCCCCTTTGGGCCGCCTTGGGAGAGAGGGGTCGTCGCAGAAATTTGACGTCGTGAAGGAGGAGGAGGAGGAAGAGGAGGAGGAGGGGGAGGAGGAGGAGGAGGAGGAGGAGGAGGAGGAGGAGCAGGAGGAGGAGGAGGAGGAGGAGGAGGAGGAGGAGGAGGAGGATAGTCACGGCTGTCAGTTAGGGCGCGGGTGGTTATTTTCACCAGCCAAATTGTGGTTCTTTTCGATGAGATACCAACCTGGTGGCCTAACACGGGGGATGGCGGATAACTGCGATGATGAGGTGCTTAGTTAGTGCGGAGCACCTGGCGATGTTCCACCTCATTATCGCGTTCGCTGGCCTCCATCCCCTCCTCACCCCATGCCCGTTGGTGATCCTCACGAATCTGGGCCCTACGGGGTGGCATCGCAAAAGGGGAAACGAACTTGCCTTGGCAGTGGTCCGCGCTTTTGTATCTTTACCTTAGGTGCCGGCCCGTTTCCGCCGCTTCACCCACCCCCCAGGCGTCCCAGACCTCGGAGGTGCTCGGACCGAGCCTCAGGGCCAACTCGTCGCCGCCGCTTTCCCCACCCCCCGGCGTCCAAGACCTCTGAGGATCGAGGACCTTACGCTTGCCACCACTCCTCTACTCCTCCACGTTATGGGTGTACCGACCAATCTTCAGATTTAGGCGTTGCGGCCAATCCGCTATCGTGCCGAGTAGGTGCAGAGAGGCTTCTTTCCAGCAGCCGCATGCTTGATAAAAAGAAATCTCGGTACTCCGTATCCTCTGTCTCGGTCCCCGCTAGTCCGAAGACTGGGGCGTCTGGCGGGTGGGGGAAGCGGCGGTGACGGGCCAGCCCAGAAACTCGGACCTTGATCCTCCGACGTCTGGGAGGAGTGGGGGCGGGGGGGAGAGGCGGGGACGAGCCAGCGCCGAGGCTCGCCCCTGACGATGGCGACTGGTGGCGATGGCTTCTTTTTCATCCTGCGCATTGGTTCCGCCGCAGCTTTGTTGTGTCTTTGCCTGCTCCTTTTCCCGTGCCCTTCCCCTTGTCCTTGCCTCTTTGCCTCTCTGCCTCTGCCTCCCAGATTCCTTTGGCCGTTCTCCTTCTGCTCGTCTGTGACAGCAAAGAGCGCGCCGTCCTGCCCCCTGCGGCGGTGGGTGCAGCGACCAGGGCATCGCCGCGCCCGCCCCCTGCCCGACCTCCCGTGGCAGGCACCCGGGCTCGACCCCGGGTGGCGTGTAGGGGTTCTGGCCAGGCGGCCGCCGCGGTGGCAGAGTGGCTTCTGCCGCCGCCTGCCCATCCGCCAGCCGGGGGCTCACCACCCACCAAACCACCCCAACCCAACCCGAAGGCCTCAATTTGCCCTCCATTTCCAGTGGGGGGGGGTCGGGGAACATCGAAAAAACACATATGGAACCCGTACCCCCCCAACCCGAAATTGGGGTCTTCGGGTTGGGTTGGGGTGGTCTGGTAGGTAGTCAGGGGCGTCCAGCACGCTGCGGACCCGGCGGATCGCGGCCCAGCTCTGCTGCCGGTCTCTTGGCTCCCCCTTTGCGCTCGCCGGCCAGGGGGATGCGCACGACCCTCGCCTGCCAGCGAGGGGGGCCGTCGTCGGGCGAGGGTCTCCAACCTGGCAGGCCACTCTGCGACCCTAGGTTGCCACTGCGGCCAGTGCTGGAGCGCCAGGGCGGAAGGAGCAGCTCAGTGCGGGCTTGCGCGCGGCTGGAGCCAGTGTGCCTCGGGCTTCCCCTCTGCATTGCTAACCCTCCCTGACCACCCGCCTTCGTGCCCTCGATTTGTGAAAGTGTGCTCTCTTCGAGGGGATTGTGGCAGTGGCGACCCCACGGGCATGCGACTGATGCCAGGGGTTTGGCGACCCTTTTGAATCGCGGACTGTGCATTATGCAACGCACGAGGGGCCAGCACTTCCAAGCAACAAGGCACATGTCAGGTGCGGGGTGTAGTCCATCGAAGTGAATCGACCGGCCAAAGGCTACATGTGAACTCCGCGAGGCCGTAACTCTCGGCCTCGGTGTCTTTGACATCTATCCCGAGGTGAGGAATAGGGCTTGGGGGTCCCGCGCCCCAATCACGTGAGCACAACAGCCCACTGGGGGGGGGCAATGGCCGATCCAACTGAATCGACAGGCGGAGGGCTGTGCCTCAAAAGCCGACCCCTCGTCTCGGAACCAGATTTTGGGAGCCTTGCTGGGGAGGCCTTGTTAAATACAACCGCTCACTTCGTTCGCCATCTGTCGATCCTCCATCGATGCCCCCCTGTCCACCCGGGGCACTCGCGCCCGTCCAGCTCCCCCCGCGAGATGTTCCATCATGTTTTGGGGACCCCCCTGCCAGAAGAGCCGCCCAGCAGTGCATGCAGACCTCCCCGATTCCCATCGGGCGGGCCCCACTGGCAGGGTCTGCTGGGCGGCCTGCCACAGTTTGGCACGGCTCTCACGCACTTCGCGGTCCAAGAAGGGATGAAAACTGAGGTTTCCCAACACGTGCCTTGAGGACGGCTGGGGGGACACCCCGCAACACGAAATGTATGTCACGGAGTCGGGTGCGTCGCGGAGTCGAGAGTCTGTGCAAGACGGCACTCCGAAACATAGGATCAACATGTCATAGAGACGGTGCGTCACGGACTCAGTGCGCCACCGACACCGCAACCGCGCCAAGCCAGGCACACAACGTGAGGCAACGGGCCCAACGCTATAGCGAAGCTCCCATGCCCCTCAAGCCAGAGGAAGAGGAGGGGGAGCAGGGGGAGGAGGAGGAGGAGGCGGACGAGGACGAGATCGAGGAGGACGAAGAGGAGGAGGAATATATTGGATTGGGCTCGGATCCAGCGCTGGGCTCGAGACTATAACCGACGGGACAATTACACATGCGGTTGTCTACCCGGCCGGCTGGGGGTCCCACCGCTGTGGGGGACACCAAAGGTAAAACAACTGCTATCCCACTGAGAGGGATTGATCATTCTGTACGGAGGAGGGGGAGGAGGAGGACGGGGAAAGTGCGGAGTAGGAGGAGCCCAAGAGGCGTTCCATTTGGCGAGGCGGTTCCAGTTCGGTGTATTTGTTGGTGGGGGGCGTTGCCCACCGATGAGGAGGAACAGGAAGAGAGATAATACTTCGATTGTGCTGCAACGCTACTGCCCTTGTGTGTGTGCGTGTAACGTCGTATGATTGTGTAGGCTCGCCTATCCTCGAGTGTGTGCTTTGGGAGGTCGGCAGCCCAACCGCTGCGGTTCTGGCTGGAAATAAGACGAACACTGCAGTGGTGGATGTCAAGATGGCAGTAGCAGCGAACGGTAGCACTCGTTATACGCAGCCTCTGATAGGAAAGGCATCAACAGGAGGCCAAACACATTTAGAGGATGATCAAACGGCATAAACGTGCACATTCGGAGGCCCGCGCGGATTTCTTCGGTCGGCGCTGGACCCCCTGCGCCAGGGAGGGTGGTCCCAGCGCCGACCCACGAAACCTGCGCGGGCCTCAGAAAGTCGACCTTTTCCCTACCTAGGCTCTGCCTAGAAGGGTTCTTACCCTGTTAGCTTAAAGGGGCCGGGCAGTGGAACACGCCCCGGGCGGTTCCCCCAGGATCCGCCCCGCGGTTCCCCCAGTGACGTTCCCTTAGCTTAGCGTTGCTTATCTCATCTTAGCTTAGCCTAGCTTAGCTTAGCTTAGCTTAGCCTAGCCTAGCCTAGCGTAGCGTAGCATAGCTTAGCTTAGCTTAGCCTAGCCTAGCTCAGCTTAGCTTAGCTTAGCTTAGCTCAACTTAGCTTAGCTTAGCGCAGCGCAGCATTAGCATATTATAGCATAGCATAGCATAGCATAGCAGAGCGCAGCATAGCATAGCGCAGCATAGCATAGCATAGCATAGCATATCATATCATATCATAACATATCATATCATAGCATAGCATAGCATATCATATCATAGCATAGCATATCATAGCTTAGCTTAGGTGTATATGTAGGTGTATATGTAGATATAGATGTGAGTCTCGCTGTTGATGTTGATGTAGATGTAGATGTAGGTGTAGATGTTAATGTAGCTCTCGGTGTAGATGTAGATGTTGCTTTCCTAGATGCTCCAACTCCTAGGTAGGGTCGCACTGGGATAATGTTCTCCGAGACGAGGGGGGAGGCAAGGCCTATTTCGATCCGACCGATCCAAGCCAACATCGATTACGGCCCGATGCTTGCATGGCGCTGTCGTGCATCTTGGTGCGGCCGATCCGATTGGATTCCGACTGCGTGCCGATGCAGTCCGCTCTGACAAACGTTCATAGTCCGACTCCTGCCCGATTTCCCGACTTGATGCTGACCGATCTTGGAAGGAGCGGGAAACAGCGGCAGCACCAGCGTCGGCGGTGGCATCAGCGGCCGCGGGCCGCGGAGCCTCGCCGAGGATTTCGAGTTCGAGCGGCGGAAGGTCACGGCCGGCGCCCTGAGGGACGAGATCTTCCGTCTGGCCAGCAGCCCCGCCGTTGAACCGTGCGCTTATCCGGGCTGCTGCGTTGAGTGGACAGCTCGAGTATCTGACTGTCTGCACTGGAGATGAAGGACAAGAAGACGGCATGAACATACATGTTCGGATGTTCGCACGGATGTCTCGAGTCGGTGTTGGACCCCTCCTGCGGCGCCTCTGGCGCCGCCCCTGGTGCGCTTTGCGCGTCATGGGAGGGGGGTCCAGCGCTGACCCAAGAAATCCGCGCGGCTCACCGTAAGTTTATGCTAATGCAGCAGTTTGTTCTTTCAGAAGAGCGTGGTTTCCGATCGCGCGAATCCTAAGGTTTGCCGGAGCGGCTAGGCAGGACGTGTATGTGGGCTTAGGCACATCTGAAGCGGGCTCGGATTTTCGGGCAACAAAAAGAACGACCCAGTGGACAAATCAGGAACGAAATAAGGACGTGCACGTACATGAGTCCACGCTGGTTTCGAGAGTACGCCTTGCGCGGATGTTCGTATCGCGCGGCGGGTCTCGCGGATCGAGGGGCCGTGTTCATGTACATAGTGGGGCGCGTACGTCCTTTGTGGGTTCCCTAGCAAAGAAACCTATGCCAGAATATCTGCGCGCATCACCTGGAATCCACACGAGTCGAGCGCGGTTGCACGTCGGCGCAACCGCGGGTCCGTCGCAGTCGAAGGCGCGCCCCAAAGGCCCTGGTGTTAGGTCGGGTGTGTCCCCCTACAGGGGGAGTTTGGACTCAACCCAAAATATTCAATCGTCCCCAGACTATCGTCTCAAACAATCGTCCCCAGACTATTTTTTGACTATTCTTGAATATTCCCCCTGTAGAGGGACACGCCCGATTTACCCCTGGTGAAACTCCGCCAGGCCATCGTAGGAGCCTCCAACGGGCTCGTTCGAGGGGTGCCGCATAAGATCCGATTCCCTGGATCCGAGGCGGGAATTTATACATGACCACCGCCGGGAGGATCAATTTTCGGGGACCTCGGCAGGCGGTGGATATGGACATATTCGGGCCCCCAGTGACTAAAATACATCATACCCACCGCCCGCTGGGACACAAGGACGTCGGTTCCCAGGCGGTGGATATGGATAAATCCCCGCCTCGCACTCCAACGGGCTCGTTCGAGGGGTGCCGCAGCACATCCGATTCCCTGAACGGCCCCCCGCAGAACCCCCAGAGCGCGCCCGAGGAGCGCGCTGGAGACCGGCAGACGTTCCCCGAGAAAACTCCAAGAGAGCTCCCAGCATGGACCCGCGCGCGCGCGACAGCGCCGCCCGCCCCCAAGGCGCTGTCGAAACGCGCAGGAGGCCAACCCCTTATCCGGCCCTGCCGAACCGACCACCACGCAGGCCCCCCCATCTGCAAGTCTAGGTGTGTATAGCGCAGTGGTATGTTTATCTCTCCATCCCGCGATCTGCGTCTGATCGGGCTCCTCTCCAGGAGCCTCAAGTCAAAAACGTGTGCCCCTAAGCACAGGCGAGGGGGCGTTCGCTCGATAGAGAAACGGCGACGGGCATACACAGCAAACGCACGCTCACCTCACATGAAATGCTCAGGCTCGTGAGTAAGGAAATCCGCACGGATAAGGGTCCTCCAAGCTGAGCATATTTCAGTCCTGACCTTCATCCGAACTGCTGTCACATGACGTGGCCTCGTAGTCGGGGAAGTCCCCCTCGGGGCAAGCGGCTCCTGATGAGGATGGTCGCTGCACTCCCGATGCATCTGAACTCGTCTCGCGTAGCACTCCTGCCGGCACATGCTCAAAGGGGGGTATGCCGGCCGCCTTCCGCTTCCTGGCGTTCTGGTGTTTGGCGTCGTAAACTAGCTTCCACCTGTGGCCACTGCTGTAGTACATCCTCAGTTGGCCTGGCTCGTGGCCCTTCGCCAGTGAGCTTGCCAGCTGGGCGTCGCCGTGCACCCAGAGTGCCCAGTTGTTGGCGGCTGTCGTCCCTTCCTTCAAGGTCATCGCCTCCACGTCGGTCCGCTTTTCCTTGCCCCGGAAGGTGTAGACGGTCGTCTGGAGCTCGTCGTAGAGGCCCTTGGCGTCCACAGCCACGGCGGCTGGCAGCCCGGAAAGGGTCTCCTCCGGGTTCCGCCAGTCGATGTCGTTGCCCAGGATCTCTGGCCTCGGGCAGCTTGACTCCGAACAGCTCGTCTTCTCCGTCCACTGCCGATCTCGTCTCGCATGCGGCTGAGCTGCGGCATCTACGATCGATCTTCCCCGACTTCCATGATATCATGCTCACGTCCGCCTCGTCGCCCTGGAGGATCTTCAGCGGGGCCATCCTGCAGGCCAGGCCTTTGGTGGCTTCCCCGTCTGGCCGGTTCGATTTCGAGGAGTCGGACCACTCGACGGACACGAGCACGTGTGTCTGGGAATGGCTATGGATCATTATTGGGAGGTCAGCACATTCTAGTACACGGTCGACCAGGCGGTTCGTCTCATTTATGGTTTGCACCGTAGATGATGGGATCGTACTGAGCAGTAGGCTGGTGTCGGCCGAGTGTAGGGGTCCTGACTGCTCGGAGCGTCACCCAACTGCTCCGATGACAGCCCTGAGCTGTCCCTTCTCCTTGTCGGTGGTCGGTGCGTCCTTGTTCTTCTTTCACTCGGGGAACAGGACTGCCTTCTCGATGGTCTTGATGTACTCGCTCTGGTCCATGCGGAAGCTCTTGTCGGCCTGCTGCTTGATCCGGACGCTGGTCTGCATGAACTCGTCCGTCTCCCAGGTCTTCCACTTACAGCGCTCCTCGATTTTCTTACGTGCTCCTATCCACCGTGGGCCAGATTCTTTCCCACCAATCAGGAAGTCTTCCACGTGCGAGCCGGCAATAGCTATGATGTCGAGGTCGCCCAGATCAGCCTGTCCAGCTTCTCGGGGTCCAGGAAGTCCTGCAGCGCCTCCCTGCTGAAGCTATTGTCCTGGACATGGGCATCGCCGTACAACACCCAGACGCACGGGTCTATCTTCATCTGGGTCCAGCCGAACTCCTCAAGAGCCTCGCTGACTGTCATGAACCACTCGATGGCAGCCTCCACGAGCCCGTACACGGCCTTCCGCAGCCTCATCGCGATGCCGTCGAGCACCCCAAGGGCGGTGGCGAGCTCCTTGACTGGCATCACGAAGAGGTCGTGCCGGATCTCCTTGTTCTGCGTGAAAGCTCCCGTCACATCTGCCCTGAACCCCTTGAAGCCGAGCCATGACATCACCTGCAGCACCATATGTCGAGATGTCCGTGTCATGGCGGGTGCTGTCGTCGGGTGGTGTTCGTACTCAGGGTCCATGTGGCCTAGAACCACGATCCTGGCCTTTAGCTTCTTGTCGCCCGTGGTCTCGTCAATCTTCCACTCGAGGATCCACCGCATGCGCATGACGTCCTCTGGTGGCGGGATGACCCCCAGTGGTTGGGATTCCAGGATATAGGAGATGACGTAGTTGTTCACCTCGGTGGTCTTCGCGACGCTGAACTTTTTCACCTCGTTCGGGGTTAGGGTCCTCTCCGAGACCTCTCGCTTGCCCTTCCGCAGCTGGCTCGCCATGTATGTGCTCATGTGTCTCGTACCCTGCTGCGGGGCCTTACCTGCGAGCGGCAGCTCCACAGACACCTCCAGCGATGTACCCTGCCTTGCCCAGAACGCCAGGGCATCTGGTGAGGCCTTGGCCATGAGCGCAGCTCTCTCCTTCATGGTCTCCTCCGCTGCTGCAGCTCTCGCCGCCTTCACACCCTGTGCCGCCTGGATGCTTCCCTTTCTTTCGGAGCGAAATTCCGCATTGGCTGTGGAGGTGAGCCCCTCGGCGATTCGCTCGGCAGCTCTCCATGGCGTGCTTTCTTCAGGGGTGGTGCTGGCTCCGGCACTCCTTCCCATGAAGCCAACTCCTCGTCATGGTCGGTGGGGTCGTGGCCCGAGAAGTCCAGGTACTCCTGTCTCATCGCCTGATTCATGAAGGTGTGCACCGTCCACGGGGTGTCCTTGCCGCCCGTGGGCTCCGCGTAGGCAATCTCGCGCGCTGATGCTGCTCGGATCTGGCACAGGTCCACCTTGATGATGCGGCCCGCCCGGACCAGCCAGACCACGGGCCCAGCCCGATCTGGATGTAAGGTCTGGTTCTCCCCGAGGTCGCCGTCCACCGGGCGACTGGTCTCCGTGGCGAGCACCCGCGCGAGGCCCTTGAACCGGCCCTTGGTCTCGCCCTTCTCCTTGCGGAAGTAGCGCGCCCACATGCCAGGGGCGACTGCCTCCAGCGCCTGGTTCTTCGCGTTCTCCGCCCGGCTGATCCGTCGCAAGTAGACCTGCCTCAGGTATTCCTGCACTGCCGCATACATCTTTGCGTAGTTCTCGCCATACTCCTTGTCAACCCGTTGGGACTCCACGCAGGGGAGCTCGTCGAAGTCACTCTCAAAGAAGTGGCCGTCGAGGTCTGGTGCCCTCCCCAGGGCATTCTGTTGCGGGGAGTGGCCACCAACGTCCTTCCGAGAGTGCCAGGCTGCAGTAGCTCGAGCCAGAGCCTCCTCGGTGGTCATCTCCGGGCTCTCCGCCACGAGCCTGTCCATCGTCCTCTTCGTGGCCTGGACGGCCTCCTCTGCGAGCGAGACGTGCCGGTGGGCCTGCCCGGGGATCGCCTCGTACACGATGGAGTCGGAGTCGAAGTATTCCGCAGCCTGCTTTGCATCCATGAGCCCTCAGGGTCCACCTTGGCCCTCTGAGGCTTCCCGAAGTATGGCAACCATGGCTCCTCGTAGAAGCTCTTCAGGTCGGCCCGCACTGGATTCCTGTGCCGGTCCTTGCCCACCATGTGGTGGAGCAGCTTGCTGACCCTCACCTTGCAGTTCTCGTCTTAGATCAGTGAGAACTTGGACCTGATCTTCTTCTGAGGGTGCTCACTTTCGAACTGGTCGGCCTGGATGTGCTTCCACTTCGGCGGTATGGGCTCGAGGCTGACTGGCGGGTGCGTCGGGCGGTGGTGGTTCGCCTTAGCACAGGCGTCGCACTGGA